ATGCTGTTCTTTGTCAGCCACAACACGCGGATATGTTGTTTTTGTTCAGATCAAAGCATAAACAACGTAGACAACATATCTGTGTGTTATTGCTGAATAAAGTCATTATTTTTGTTTTCTTTGCGCACAAAAAGTATTCTCATAGCTTTGTAAAATTACAGTTGAAACACTGATGTCACATGGACTATTTTAATGGTGTGTCCTGATGACATGACATGAAAACTGTGGTAAATTCTAATGTTTTCCACATGCCTTGAGAAATGTGAGCGAGTCTGAACCATAAACAACAGTATGACGCACTGCATGGCTGGTTAGCATGCAGAGCTAGCTGCTGCTCAGTGTTGCCAGATTGGATGGACGATTTCCAGCCCAAAAGCTCACAAAACCCCGCCCAAAAACCGCCCAAAACTTTAACGGTCAAAGTAATGTTATATAATATGTAAATCAAGGTTGATAAGGGCCATTTTCACTCCTTAAAACAAAATATTGACGACAAAATAGGCTAATATAAATTATAAATAAGATAAATTTAGCAAGTAAACGGATCAAATCGGGGCGAATAGCCTACATTAAAGAGAATTAGGCTACCGAACATGAATAAAACATGCAAGCAGACACTGTCAAAACGGCAATCATGAAATTAACCGATACCGATTCCCACTTTTTAACTTATATTTTGGCATTGTGATTACTTGAATATACAGTCATACTACATTCAAAATCAGATACGTTATAACTTATCACACTAATAACTTGTCACTCGTGAATCATAATGTCTGTCTGCTGAGCCCTTGTGATAAGTGCGGCTGTCTACGTTTACATCAGCACCAGCGCCTCTGCAGTGTGTGTGTGTGTGTGTGTGTGTGTGTGTAGTAACGTTATGATGACTGATTGGATGCAATATACAATATACTTGGGCTTGTTTTGTTAAACAATTAGCCTATGCAATTTATATGTTTGAAAACCGCCAAACTGACCCCAAACCAGCCCAAATTTTGTTCACCTGCCCAAGCCAATTGTTTACCCGCACAATCAAATTCAAAACAGCCCAATTGGGCGGGAACCCGACCAATCTGGCAACACTGCCGCTACTAATAGATAAGCCTTTAGCAAGCAGTCTTTCTCCATTTAAAGAGCATTCAGAATATTTTTGTATTTTCTAGCAACATATAAATGGCAAGTATTTCATTATAATACAGCAGATAGTTTACCAGTGCCTTGATTAATTTTAAAAGTCTCTTAAAACCGTTTAGAACTTGATTTCACATGCTCTGCTGAGCATCAATTGGTGAAACATTAAAAGAGTCAAATAGTAAATGCTTAGATCAAGTGTTTTTTTTTTTTTTGTATTTATTAAATTTTTTTTTTGGTGTTTGACAGCTCCTACCATTACTACACAATGCACATAAGCTTTTGTTTTTATGGGAAAATGTAGTATGGACATATTTCAAAATCTCCTTTATTGTTCCACTAAGGAAAAAGTATTTCAAAGTCATTCCAAACTGATCTCAGTAGTATTCATAGGTATTCATACGTTTACACATGCAATGTACGTTTGTACATTTTGTACGTTTTGATATGCGAAACATACACTATGGAAGTAGTGACCGTATCTAAAAGGTGAAAAAGTGTTTACATATGGACAGCTTTAGAAATGTCAATCATCTTTAGAAATTCTTTAGTATTGTAAATGTAATTTTATTTAAATATTCACTATAATATGCATATGTTTCACCCCTACCCTAAAACTAAACACTGTTCTATAATCTAAAAAACTCAATAGGTAGATAAATGTATGTGACAATAATTTAATTGATTAAATATTCCCAAAATATTCACTCATTTAAACTTTTCAAAGCATATCTTTGGTAAAATGAATCCTTTAAAGGGGTAGTTCACCCAAAAATGGTTCACCCATTAATTACTCACCCTCATGTCGTTCCAAACCTGCATACGAGGGTGAATGACAGAATTGTAATTTTTGGGTGAACTATCCCTTTAAAATGAGTTGAAAACAGTGGCAGAAATTAAAATGTTATAATGTCAAATGATGTAAATGCATTGAATATATGTGAAATATGGCGTAGAGTGTATCTAATGCCATTAATTTGCATAACACCAGCCTCTTAATTCCAAGTCTCAAGAAGGACAACTAAAGGTCACTGGCTTCAATTTCAGCAACTGTGAGTGATGTTTACCTGAAGGAGTAGGGTGATTAGGAGAGGCACGTGCCTGTGATGGTCTCACACTGAAAGCATGCAGTTATGTGGTAATCAACGGGTGCGTCCCTCACTGCATGTGATACTGTGACTTTGTTATGACTGTCAGTAAAAAGATCAATTGTATAAAAGCTCGCACAAAGAGTTTTTGGACTATGAGGAAATGAAAAGAAATAAAAAGAGTGTAATGCATTAGATTAGTGATTCTAAAGTCCACCTCTCCAGTGTCTGTTTTGACTTATCCAGTATGTTCTGCTGTACTTCATTCAAGATTGACTAGTTGAACTAGTAGAGCCACAGGTTCAAATCCTCCTGTCTCTAGAAGCTCTGCTGGGAGAAATTGACATGCCTCGGCATGCCTTGCTATCAGCTCTGTGTAAAGTTTTCCTTTCTCTCTGGTGCTTGTCCAGCCTATGTTTCCCTTTTCGCAGGATGGCATGAATTTTGAAAGACCCAAACATGAATGGTCCCACCTGTCCATCTCTTGTACCTTATTCTCTCAGAACATGAGACGTACGTGATCCAACATTCGTGCCCATCAAGTTCCCACCTTCCCCTCCTCCAAACACACGTGGGGAGAGTAAAGAGCAGAGACGCACACCTTTGTGCCTTCTGGGGCTGTTGTCTGTCACTATAGTAACCAGGTGGGGCCATCAGCTTCCAGGTAGGACTGACACCTGCTGCATTATTCATCTCTGCAATGCGTAGCTGCCTGTAATCTGACTACACGGGAACGAATATCCCTTGACGCCAGACTGTGAAGGTACTCTTCCACATTTTCTTTGAACCCACGTCCTTTATTCTCTAACTTTTGAGGAGGTTGAAATCTGCTAAACTTAACTTGTAATGCATTTCTATGAAGTGTTTTCCATAGATTAGCACATATGGGGGGAGGTTAACCAGCTGTTTACTATGTTTTCCCTCTTTTTGGAAACATGTCAGGGCAAAAATATTTGGAAATTAACAAGTAGAAAACAAAACAATGCATTCATGACAGCTGTTGGCCATCAACAACACGACACAATAAACTTGGTGTCTGCGCATGTTTGTTAAGTCGGCTTGGTGTCTGGTTGGATTGATTTTTTCCATGTGGACCAAGCAGTGATTCAGAAAGGTTAACAGACCTAAATGTGAGCTTTCTGAGTAGATCTGACGAGTCCATCAGACAGTTCCTAGAAACCTTGTATGTGACCCTCTGCAGTTGGCCTTGTCAATAGGTTATGTTGACTCATGGACGTGACCACCTGCAAGATGCTTGTAATAACTGGTTCAGGCAGTAAAGATACCTGATGTAGTTGCTTGAAAACATATGAGTCATTTTCATACTGTTGCCTAACACAAAAAGTGTCTGTTGACAAGACGTACAACAGGAGGAGACGTTCAAACAGGAAGCAAATTAGTATTGTCGGGAACCAGCACTGTTGACCTAAAACTGGTCTCTTATGCAAATCAGGCAGACAACGAGACCAGGAAGTGAAAGTTCATGCCAGCTCCTTCCAGTTAGAAAATGTAAGCTATGTGAGAAACAATGTTGTGTGAGTGCTATCTAGTGGTAAGAAATATATTACAACTCAAAAGTAATGAGTTTGGAAAATGATGACCACCTGTTAGCAGTAACAGTATCAATAGCATAAATAATATTGAAAAATGATACAAAATAAATATAATATTAAAATACCAAACCAAAATTATATGTTTAACATTTACAAAATATTTTATATTATTTAAATATTTATTGTATTTAACTATCTATCTATCTATCTATCTATCTATCTATCTATCTATCTATCTATCTGTCTATCTTTCTGTCTGTCTGTCTGTCTGTCTGTCTAATTGTCTGTCTGTCTGTCTCTATCCGTCTGTGTCTGTCTCTATCCGTCTGTCCATCCATCCATCCATCCATCCATCCATCCATCCATCCATCTATCTGTCTGTCTGTCTATCTGTAATAAACAACTAGCAAGAGAGGGACAGCAGTAACAGTAACAATAGCATAAATAATATTTTAAAAATTATAAAAAAATTTATATAATATTAAAATACCAAATCAAAATGGTTTAATATTTACAAAATATTTTATATTATTTGAATATTTTATTGTATTTAACAGTCTATCTATCTATCCAATTGTCTGTCTGTCAGTCCATCCATCCATCATCTCTCTGTTTGTCTATCTGTCTGTCAATTTATTGTTTTACCTGTCTGTCTATCTATCTGGCATGTTTTTTCCTAAAATAAGTAATCTTTTGCTAATCTTTATATAAAACAACTCATCAGTCTGCAGTCTTGAAATTGGATATGTCACTTGATATGATCCCCACCAGCGCAGATGAAATGATGTTCATGCTCATAATCCTGCATTGTCAATTAAGGTCTGCTGAGCTCTGTGGGTAATGTTAGTGTATGGAAATCCAGTTTAAGACGATGGATTGAGTTTCAGCACATTCCTGAGAGGGGAGATCATGTGCAAACCCTCGGCTGCCTCACTGATTTGTTTTCACATATCAAATATTCTCACTCAGACTCAGTCCTCTATATTTTTACATACACATCGGCAGTGTATTATACACTCAGGCTCATATGCATTCTGATATTTATTTGTTCAGGACAGCCATGACTGGTCAAAGGAAATAGACATTCATAGTGAAATAAATTCATAGTGCTTTTTATATTTGATTATGCTACAAAATAGTGCTGAAAAGCCGATACAGTTTGGTGTCAGCTGGGAGCCCTCAGGGTTTTGTGTAGCGCTCTGGTCACCACAACAGGCTCATGAGTTGTAGGGAATTAGAATGTGCGCCTGAGCCATCTGCGCCCATAAAGCTCATTTGTGTCTGCTTACGAGGAGAAATTATGCATTATCTGTTCTTAAAGCAGTGGAAACACTATTGTTTCCTGGAAGGCAAGCACTTCTATTTGAGGAGAACCTTCATTGTTTTGTTACTGTTGTGAAGTTCACAGAATTCGTCATAGGTAAGAGTGTGTTTATGTCTTGTGTTTATGCACGCTATAGACTCATCTGTAGGTACTTGAAATGTTATTGTTGTGAGTTTATTGTATGTCAGGGATTCAATTAGCAAATGTACTCATCTGTGGCATTTAATCAAAAGTGTTGGAGGAATTAGTAGATGTTTTCATTTTAGCCTGTAAACAAATCAGTGTTTGTCCTGGCTTGTTTTAAATCCCCTCGTGCATGAGGCCATTTTTTGGATTGATTTTTATGAATTATGATATTGTCATTTTAGAAAGCACAAAGCCTCATAAATAATACAAAATCGAGCGATCAGTGACAGGGTGCCAATCTGAACTCTACATGTGACAGAAGTCTATCTTTTTCTTCTTTGGATGAGCAGACACACAGTAGCTCTATTCACATCAGCTGTGGTGTTCTTGACTTGACATGGATTACTTTACTTTTCATCCTCTTATAATGAGATGAGGAGCTGTGCGTTTGTTCACCGATTTGACATGCCCTTGTTATATTGACGTCTTCAGCCAATGTATCAAATCAAATAGGAAATTAATGAATAACCACACACTGGTTTCCATTTTTTATGAGGATTTTCCATAGACATAATGGTTTTTATACTGTACAAACTGTATTTTCTATCCTGTTATCCTAAGCCTACCCATCATAGAAAGCTTTCTGCTATTTTAGATTTTTAAAAAATCATTCTGCATGATTTAAAAGCTGTTTTACTCATAGAGACCAAAAACAAAGACAAAAACACAGCAAAATTACAAAAATTTTAATTATTTTCATTTGAATTTAAAATCTAATTTAAATATAATGATAAAAAAAAGGTCAAGTTCCCCTCAAGGTCAGAATTTACTGATATAAACTTCCTTGTGTGTCCCCATAATGTAGGGAATACCATATATATGTGTGTGTGTGTGTTTGTGTGTGTGTGTGTGTGTGTGTGTGTGTGTAAACTGAAATTAAAACTAAAACCATTAAAAAAATAATTACCTGAAATAAAATAAACATTAACTGAATGAATAAATCTATAAAAAACTATATAGACATACATAATTAAAAAAAGAAATACAAAAATGCAGCAAAATTAATCAAACTTTAACTAAAATTTAAATTATTTTAATTTTAATGTAGCATATAATTTAAAATATAATCTCAATGATACTGAAATAACACAAGATGTTATAAATGTTATCATATATACACAGCATGACATATACACAGCATATATATATATATATATATATATATATATATATATATATATATATATATATATATATATATATATAAAAAAAATATTTTGTGATTGTTAGTAATTTACTAGTAATTTACTTTTTACTTAGTGCATGTTACTGTGTGATTTTAATTATATACATATACTTTATTGTATACAATAGTAATAATAATAATGTTAAAGCTATAGTAATTAATCTAGAAAATGTGTAATATGGAGATTGGTAGATATGGTATAGATATGGAGATATGGTATGAAGTGTTACTATGAACACATGCAATTACAACAATAATCACAAGAGGACAGTATTCTACTTTTCAGATGTTCACATCGCATTAATACAGAAAGGTTCCTCTCAGTGTAATTGATTTGGAAGGTGCGCATCTGTTACAGGTTTCATTTGATTGATTCTTTTATTTCTGCGTGCATTAAGAGAGAAATTCATTTAATTCATGTCCTCATTTAAAATAATCCTGTGCTAATCTCTGTGCGTTTGACTATTTAGATGGTTCACTTACCTTTAACAAAAAAGAATACCAGCATGTTTAGAATAAAATCACCATGAGGTAAATATTGTTATGGTTTGCAAAAGTCAGGCATATCATGGTTAGTGTGTAGGCCTAAACCTGTTTTCTTATTGTAACTCAAGTCTTCAAAGTCCAGGAGAAACATCCTCACAAAGTTTGCATGCTTTCAAAACCTTTTTGGCCCACAGTGTCCCAAAGTAGATTTACCTTCAATAACCATTTATTAAATCTCTGCCCCATTAAAGTCGCAAGCTTCCAAGAGCTGGCTGCATTAATCCTGATTACAGGCTGTCAAGCGGGGGAAACGGGGTCTATGTGTCAAGCGTGTCATCGAGAGATGTTTTATCCTCATCTGCGTCTTTCTATCTTCAGTTAAGGGCGGGAGAACCCAAAGAATGAACATCGGGAGATGAGTTTGAGCGCTGATAGTGCAGGGACCGCTTTAGAGACAGAGCAAAAGAGGGTCTTAGAGGGTCCGACACGGTCATGAGTCTCTGAGGTGCGGAGTGAACCGGACACATGGAGTGGGGCGGTAGAAGAGCCAGTGGCTCCATCAAACGGGCCTCCATCAAACGCTCAGCATCAATGTCTCAGAAGGTAAGAGTGTCCACCGCTTTAGGGAGGTTTAGGCTGTTACCTTGAGTTTGATTCAGTGATCTAGAGGTGATTGAAATTAGTGAAAATATGTTGTTCTTTATGAGTGAAGTCAGGTGTATGTGACATGATACTGAAACAACTAAACCCTATAACTAAAACAATAACTTAAACTAAAACCATTAAAAAACATTACCAAAAATAAAATAATTTACTGAAATAAAATAAAATGTAAACTACCGTATTTTAACTTTATTTTAAGTTTCAACTTCTTTTTGTTTAGTTTTGGTACTAAAATAACAAAAACTAAATAAACCACAGCTAAAACTTAATACAACTATATAGACATATTTAAAAAAGAAAAAAAGCACACAACAAAATTACTATTACAAATATTAAAATAAAATCTAACTCTAAATGTTAACAACGATATAATAGTGATACTAAAATGACATGGATTCACAGGTTTATGTCTCAGCTAAAGGGTTTAGTTTTCATCAGCTTTAAGAATGTGAAAGATTGGAGAAGACATGACCAATCAACTTGGGCTACGTATTCTTATAATTCTTTCCATAATGCACTTCTAATGCAAAATCAGTACTGCTTGTTATTATTTCTTTACATATTATGTGCTTTTTAACTTAAGCTTCAGCATTGTAAAATTTATATTATATTATATTATACAACTGTTAAGCATTTTCAAACAGTGTGTGTGTGTGTGTGTGTAAATATTCAGATGTAACCCCCTTTGTAATCATTAACATTTTCATAAGTAATTGTAATTTAATTACACTTTTTTTCTCAGTAACTGTAACAGATTACAGTTACATTTATTTGTAATTAAATTACGTACCACCATTACATGTAACTAGTTACTACCCAACACTAATTATATTTTAGAAATAATATAATATAATATGTGATCCTGGACCACAAAAGCAGTCTTAAGTCACTGGGGTATATTTGTAGCAATAGCCAAAAATATGTTGTATGGGTCAAAATTATCCATTTTTCTTTTATGCCAAAAATCATTAGGATATTAACCTCATGTTCCATGAAGATATTTTGTAAATTTCCTACTGTAAATATATCAAAACTTAATGTTTGATTAGTAATATGCATTGCTAACAACTTCATTTGGACAACTTTAAAAGCGATTTTAATTTTTTTGCACCCTCAGATTCCAGATTTTCAAATAGTTGTATCTCGGCCAAATATTGTTCTATCCTAACAAACCATACATCAATGAGAAGCTTATTTATTCAGATTTCATGTGATGTATAAATTTCAATTTAGAAAAAATGACACTTAGGGTTTTGTCGTCCAGGATCACATATATTTATATATATGTGATTATATATATGATCAAATATATGATTATATTTACACCTTTGTTGAAGTTTTTGGAAAGGGATAATGTAAAAAATTAATTTCTTCACTCTTTAAAACTTGCTGATTATCTTTACAGTTGTAGCTTTAACAACGGCCACTGCTACGAATTGGAAAAACAAATTTAACTTGTTATAATGTTGCAAAATATGAAGCTAGAGATGTATTATATAAAACAGATTTGCATCTTTGATTTAAATCTCTTACTAATCCAACTCCTAATCACAAGAGAAAGCAAAAGGGCAGTTCCAGCCCAATGCAACTTTCTCCGGCAGCAGCAGAATGAGCAGCACCTCTGTGGTTTGATGCTCCTCCGCTGCCTCTAATCCCCATAATGCCCAGTATGAGCACCAGCAGCTGGGCAAGATTATAAGCACTTTACCTCCCTACTTTCAAATGTATGCTTTCATGTGATTAAGACTGAAAATATAGCTTTCAATAAGGAATCAAATATATCTTTACATTGGTAGCCTCTCAACCCATGTCGAGTGACGCACTTTCTGATGTAATACATGTAGGAATTGTCAAAGTAAGCAAGTTTACTCAAAATCTTCCAGTAGTGGGTAAATAGGTCAGAATGCATAAATCCAATTCCTGTGAAGATTTACAAACCCTAGAAATTAGTGTTTAGTGAATAAATGCAATCATAAGTAATGCCTTTATTATTTTCTGTACAGTAAAAACAGGGGTTTTCTTGAAAAAGATGACAGCACATGCAAATAGACGTACAAACAAAATGTTGAGGGATGTGTGTCCAGTCTGAGTAAATGAGGAAAGAAGGATATGATTGTTACTAAAACACTTCCTTTGACATTTGCATGCATCCTCCAAAATTTACAGTCATTTCTCTTTCGGTCTCTGCCCCTTCCCCCTCTCTCAAAGACAGACAAAAACACTCTCACACAAACATAGTTGTCTAAAAAATGTGTCTTATGACTAAGAAATCTCAAGGCTAATCAGTGACATGTTGGTCTCATGTGATGATGGCTAACTGGATTTTCAAACCCACAGAGACAATGAGTCTTTTTAGAGGCAGAGTAAGAAGGGGAAAGCACTGTTTTAAAAAGGTTAAGTATGTTAAACTTAAACCCAGAAATCCACATGCCTATTGTCTCCAGACCTAGTATAACCTCTATAAAACTTAAAACTAACAATTTATTTGCAAGTATGATATTTCTCCCTCTCTTGCTAGTTGTTTATTACAGACAGACAGATAGATGGATGGATGGATAGACAGACAGACAGACAGACAATTGGATAGATAGATAGACAGACAGACAGATAGATAGATAGATAGTCAGACAATTGGATAGATAGATAGATAGATAGATAGATAGATAGATAGATAGATAGATAGATAGATAGATAGATAGATAGATAGATAGACAGAGAATTTAATAGATAGACAATTGGATAGATAGACAGACAGACAGACAGACCGGCAGACCGGACGGACAGATCGAATTTTAAATATACATTAAGTGTTTTTACAAGGTTGTGAGTTGAACTGTGAGCACAAATCAAATCCCACACTGCTCATTAGTTCTAAGGAATGGGTCACCGGACTGTTGCCCTCTCATGTGATCTTCAGTGTCTAGTTTTGGAAAGGCTCATCATACAATTTATGACGTGTGTGAACAGACAATGCCATATCTAAATTTCAGTAAGTATGTATTTACTGTAATTACTGCATCTTTGTGAGTTTTGCCTGTACAATGTGAAAATGCAGACTTGTACAAAAACTGTGGGAAAGATTTGCATAAACATTTAATCTGATTTCCCCCTTTCAGCTCTCACAAATCACAGCTGCAATCCTATTTATGAACAAATGCCTTTTTAGTTGAGCAACAACGTGCGAGATGTCTAACTATGTGGAAAGACTCAATAGTGTTGATTGTTGCCAGGTTTGCTTATAGGCCTTGTTAATTTAAGCAAGAAAATCTGATTTTTCCTTCTAGAGAGCTTTTGTGCATTTTCCGAACAAAGCTCTTTCAGCGGATTTGAGTTTTAATTGCTGTGGATAATGAGTTTAAACTAGCCGAAATAAGTGCGTCACACTGGCTGAACTACTGCAGTAGCAAGAGCCCTTTGTCTTGAGAGCTTTAATTACCAGTTGTCCACATGCATTTTGACGACAGCACTGAACTGCTGAAAGAGTGATGGTTGAGGAAAGAACCCATTGAAAAGCACTTTAAACCAATGATCTCACCATTTCTATTTGACCCATAAAGTGCAAAAATAGATATCTTAATTTAGGGTGGAATCTCCCCATGTTTTCAATGGTTGACCAAGCAGCCCTGCTGATTAATAGATTTTAAACCAGCCCAATGTGGTTATATAGGTTCCATGCCCAATTCCAAATTAGTCAGTCTGGTCTGTTTTGAGGGCATTTTAAAGCTGGTCATGCTAATAGACCCAAGCAAACACCAGCTTGGACTGATTTACTGAATATTTACTGTTTTACAACTACTGGTCACTCAAACCCTCTCAAAATAATTTGTGAATATCTTCACAAATGTAACTTCTCGAATCAACTGATGAAACACCCTCTATTGAGTAGAGTTCCTCACTTAAAGGCTTCTCTTCTTTTGTGTAAAAGACTGTTAGTCAGTAGCGTCATCAATGCTTAGACGTGATTGTTAGTCCGTCAGAACCGTTTCCCCCCCTCAACACGGTTGGTGAAATTAGAGATTAACAACAATTAGTATTGGATGACCTTGCCCCCAACTGGAGTCCTGTCATGTCTTAACTAGGCCTCTTTTCAAAAGAATGTCTGTTCCCAATTCTCTCAATTATGCAAATTGGGCTTGATATCAAAGTGGTCAGAGGAGGGTGACACTTTCGAATGAAAAGCTTTGATGAGTTCCCATTCCTGTCCATTTCTAGATACAAACCTGACTCTCTACATCAACTTCCGAGAAGTGTTTGTGGTAGAAAAGCCGTTTCTCAAGGTTTTCTGAGCTTAAGAAGTGTGTTTCACGGGGGTTGTGAAGCTATCAAAGTAGATTTGTTGTGCTTTGCTCCAGCGAGGGATGAAAATACCCTGTGGGCAAGGAGAGAGGGGTCATGGGACTCCCAAAAGGATTACCTTGAACTGGAGTCATGGGACGTGCCCCGAACAAAGAGCCTGCTCACATGCTCATCATATGAACAGCCCCTCATAAAGTGGTGAAGTTTCATGTCCTGTGGGATTCATTGGGCGCCGGCGCTCTGGGAAAGAGCACCCCTCGCCAGCGGAGCTCCAGGAGGGATCGCTGATGCCGAAAGTTTCTCTTTGGCACCTTCTTAATGTCGATTAGAGGCTCTACAGGTAGGACCCCGGCTAGCTAACTCTGGGTGACCAGAAGGAACTGTGGTCTACTGATGTGATGATGGGGTAGGAATGATCAGGATTGGGATTACGAGATTGTAGTATTGGGAATGATTTACAATAGTTTTTCTCGCTTCTCTTGACGCAACAACAAAAGTTTTTAAAAAATTAGGAGGTGACAAACTTTATAAACTATGAATTTATTGATTTATACTTAAAATTGTGCAATGGAAAGCCATGGTTTTGTGGGTTTCTAATGTGTTCTGTCTTTCTTATCTCTAATGTTCTGACTGATTTTTCGAGGGAGATTTGCCTCAAAAGCTTTTGTCTTAATTAGGGCTGAACCAACAAAAGCCCAGACAGATATTGCTTTGAACCAAAGGTTATTTTTGTCCAGTGCTGGAGCACAAAGCTGGCACGACAGAATCTTTTTCGAAAGCTAAAAATGTTGGTGGGTTTCCATGGAACTTTCTCAGAACAGAAAAAAAGAGATAAATGGTCTGGAGCAGAGTTTGCACTCTAATTTGCTATGCACCTAATAATTTCAGGCAAAACAGGCTACAGCCTGGATCTGGTCAATGACTCTGGATGTTCTTGCATTCAACTCATATCCACACATCTTGAAGCAACAGTCAGTTGTTTTGTGGTTTTAGTAGCTGACTGTAAAAGACCAGCATTATCTTTGTACTAGTAGATTCCTAAAAGCACACTTATCACTGGTAATGGTGAACAAATGCGTTTCACCAGAAGTCTCCATAGTTAATCACTTTAGACATTTGCCATCTACATATTTTCTCTTCCATGTGTTCTGTATATCTACGGCTTGTGCATACTGTACCACTCATACTTTAGTAAGGATTATCATTGCAAAGAGGATTTGCTCTATTTACTCTGGGCAAACTCAAGGGACTAAAAGCAGTTCTTGCTGTAATTGATGTTATACATATATTAATATGGTCGAATGGTACATTGAATATGTGTAATGTTGTAGGTTTGTGCTTGTATAACCAAACTACTATTTTATTTTATTTTATTTTAATCATTTGAATTTATCTTCATAATTATGTGAATTGTGAACTTTCTTCTGACTTATTTTTCCCTTTCTGCTTCTTTGGGGCGGAAACTTATTTATTTTATTTTAGTTTATTATTTGATTTACTGTCTTTTCTTGTCTGTTTCTTAGGGCCAGAAAGCTTGGATTGAAAAAACCTTTCACAAAAGAGAATGTATCCACATATTTCCAGCCAAGGACCCAACGCGGTGAGCTTTCCTATTTTGACCCATTTCAAAAGAACACGTAGCTACATATAATGACACCATTGTGCGAAACAAATTACCTCTATGACTCATTCTGTTTTGAGGCTTTTTAGACTCTTATGTAATGAGGGGTGATGTGTGACATCATAAGCCCTTTCACAGATCACTGTGTGGGCATGTTTCAAGGCTGGATGTGAGGGGGGCAGTGTAGTTCAGTCCACCACACTTCCTGTCTGTGGAGGGATGCCAGAGTGTGCACTGATGCATGTACCCATTGAACATTGACTGCAGTTTAGATACAGCCCTGATAGGTGGTCTACGTGCACAGAAAAACAGGCAATACTCTCAAACCAAATTATTTTCATGATGAAATGTCAGCTAATTGAGTTACGTAAGCAACATCCTGTTGCATGCAATAAAACAAACCTCCAGCATTACTTCTGCTGTGATTTTCCTCAGGTGCGCCTGTGGTTATCTAGTGACTCAACACACGGCCATTGCAGCAGGCGCCATCACCAACAAGCCCTCCGAAGGGAACCAGCTTGTGCAAGTGGACCCTCCTCAGGAGAAATGGTTGGTGGTCAAACATACCCAGACCATCCTCACAGATGCCTATGGTACCATTGAATTTCAAGGAGGAGGATTTATCAACAAAGCCATGGTATTTTGAACATTATGGGGTGAATTTACTAACTTGTTATATTATTATTGATCCTAGTATTTTGACCCAAAAGCTGAGTTTTATTTGATAACCACCTGTAAGCGAAGGACAATACAAATTTCTCAGTTAATTCCCTCTCGAGATTTGAAGTCTAAATAATCCAACAATTGTAAGTAAAGAACCATGTTAGCATAGTTCACGCAGTGAGGAAATAAACATATTTCATTCAAGAAAAACAGTTAAATCTGACATTAAGCGTATAATTCAATATCTCTTACAGTATATTCGGGTGTCATATGATACTAAGCCGGACAGCTTGCTGCATCTCATGGTGAAGGAATGGCAACTGGAGTTGCCCACGCTGCTTATATCAGTTCATGGTGGCCTCCAGAACTTTGACCTGCAGCCCAAACTCAAGCAAGTTTTTGGGAAAGGCCTGATCAAGGCTGCCGTGACCACCGGAGCATGGATCTTCACTGGTGGAGTCAGCACTGGTAGGTATTTTTTGAGTACAACAGGGATGGGCAACTCCGGTCCTGGAGGGCCACTGTCCTGCAAAGTTTAGCTCCATCTCCACTCAAACATACCTGGAAAAAAGGTGTGTTTAGTTGGGGATAGAGGTAAATTCTGCAAGACAGTGATCCTCCAGGACCAGAGTTGCTGATCCCTGGTCAACAGGTATGATTCCAATCCACATGGATCCCTTGGATCCAACATTTGCATCCATATTCAATTTGGTTTGGTATCAGATCTAGTTAAGAAGGTTTCCTAATCTGTTTTATATTACTTTCATAATGTAGGAGTGATCCGGCACGTTGGAGATGCTTTGAAGGATCACTCTTCTAAATCCAGAGGGAAGGTGTGTGCTATAGGCATCGCTCCATGGGGAATCCTGGAGAGCAAAGAGGATCTAATTGGAAAAGATGTAAGCACGAACTATCGGTGTATAATACAAAACATGATGGTGCTCATAAACTTATGAAAAGATTATTGAATAAGGCGTTATGCTACATCATCTAACAGTTGAAGCTTCATACTTGTCTACTGGCATCTGCATTATGTTCCTCTTCAGGTGAACAAACCATACCAGGCCATCTCCAATCCTCTGAGCAAACTTGCCGTTCTCAACAATAGCCATTCGCACTTCATACTATCTGATAACGGCACATGTGGGAAATACGGGGCGGAGGTCAAACTACGCAGGCAGTTGGAGAAACACATCTCCCTCCAGAAGATTAACACGCGTAAGTGCGGTAGCATCAGCAAATCTTATCTGATTTAGGTTTAATGTACCTCTGATCCTAAGAGGGCATATTTGAAAGCATGCTAAGGGTTTGAATGACGCGAGATATATCCTGATTATCCGTAATGGAGTTCATGGGGTCAGGGACCAGTGGAGATATGATCTAGGCATTCTAGATTTGATCAAGGCTTTGGTGTCTGTGACCTGTGGGTTTCCCTTTGTCATCCTATGCCTGGAGCTCGTGATAAGGCAGGGACAGCAAAGGGAGGCTCAGCTGTCACCACTCACATCGTCATCTGGGATCAGACCTGGGAGAGTCAAATTAAAATGATTGTACTCCCCCACTTCTCTGACTTTTAAATACCTCTCTTTTGTTAATCATAAAAGGGCTTTTTAAATTTTTAATGTGCATGCATTTTGAGTAATTGAAAATAAGATTTACAGCGCAAAACACCCAAAAGGCTCGAACATTCAGGCTAATGTTTTGTAATAGTATTATATTGATACGTGCACAATCCCTGTACCAAGAAATACAAAACATTTAGTTAAGTGAATTGCTTTTTTTTCTGTATATGCATGTTAGGACTGGGCCAGGGTGTACCGGTGGTATGTCTGATTGTGGAGGGGGGTCCCAATGTGATCTCGATTGTCCTGGAAAGCCTGCGTGAGGAACCACCTGTGCCTGTAGTGGTTTGTGATGGCAGTGGTCGAGCCTCTGACATTATTTCCTTCGCCCACAAATATTCTGAAGTTGAAGGGTGAGTATTAATAGTCATTATTACACAGATCTCTGGAATGCTTGATTCTAAATGATCTATCACAATATTCTTTGTTCAAATGTTCGATATAATTGAGAAATATTTAAATAATTAATTTGTTTAGATAGACCTTTTGCTTCGCCCTGAAGGGGTCCAGATGCCTCTGTAGGGGTTTATGTCTAGAAATGAATAGCTAGATGCACATTATCCCATGAATTTCTAGTATTGACCCATCTTTAATAGAATGACTGTGAATTAGTTGTCAAAACTATTCATTATCACAACTGAATTGTATTTTATAGACTGGTAAATGAAGACGCAAAAGAGCAACTGCTGGTCACCATCCAGAAAACCTTTAACTACAACAAAATGCAGTCAGGGCAAATTCTGCTCATGGTCATTGAATGCATGAAGAAGAGGGAGTTGGTAAGTATCTACAGTAACATCCATCAACACAAACCCACTCTCTGCTTAAACCAGCCTAAGATAGTCTTAGTGGGTCTCTCATTCTGGTCAGGTCTTCTTGTTTTAGATTGGCTTTGGATACTTTTCAGCTTGGAGACCAGCTTAAGACCAATTTGGCCAGTCTGGGAGACCAGCTAGACCAGACTAAACTAGCGAAGACCAGCAAATCAACCAAGGCTGGTTTTAGATTTTTTTTTCATTTTTTCAAATATACATTTAAAACAACAATAATAATAATATACATATAAAAACAACTAAGAATAAAATGTTTTATATTTTTTTAACTCTTTGTGCAACCTTTCATCAATAAACATTTCCATTCGTTATTCATTTTGTCATGTGTCTTTATTCATGTGTCTCTCTCATATATCCATCTGCATTTGCTCCCTTGTTGTATTAACTGGTACAAAACATCATATCGCATCACATCCTTTCATATCAGGAGCGACTAGTTCTTCTGCTTATGAGACCGTTGTGATTAACAAATGCTTTCAGACTTCATATGTTAGAACGGACTTCACAATCACTATATACAGTACTTGCCTATAGACTATATATGACCTATAGGATGATCCAGTGCACTCTGGGAGCTTGGTTAATGGTAATATTTGTGCCGGTGCAGCTTTAACTGAGGCTAAGTGATGTGTTAAGTATTTAGTAATACTGCCTCAGGACAGGAGATAATCTGTAGCTCTATACATCTGGACTAGGATCAGTGTAGTGCCACCTGTTCTTGCCGACCCGCTACGTTCATTCACCCTGTTCCTGAATATGAGCAGATGGGGGGGAAGGAGGGTGGATCCATTTCTCTCTAATCCACACTGAACATCTCCTCCGCTTATTTCAGTGACATCATATCTCGTTGTCTGGCTTTAGATAGAGTAATGGCCTTCCACAACAGTGTTTTTACATTAAATGCTAATGTATGTTAAGAGCTCAAATGTCCACATGCGTACATAAGCATTTCCATTATATGGATATTAGGTACACAAATGTACAACTTTCAAGCCTACTATTAAACATGAATTGATAGCTTAACATATGCTATTATGAAAGCAAGCATGCTATAGTGTTTCCCTAAGCCATCTGTGTCCAAATGGTTTGCTTCAACCAAGATATTAAACATGAAATGAACTAGCATTCATTCTCAAAATATTATAAAGAGTTCAATTTAAGATGTCACCCCTCCCATTGCAGCCATGAGGTACTAATCTAAAAGCCCAGACTCCACCATGAGTCTCTCATTAGCAATGCATGCTAACACTCAGGAATGTCTTGGAACAGGGCCACTAGTCCATGCCAACGTGATTACATTTAAGATTAACATACATGTGACTGCAACTGCAAAAGTAATTGCATTTGATACTAGACATCCTAAACAAGAAAAGCAGTATTACGTAATTTGAGAGGGAAATAAGCTAGTTATGCAGAGTGTGAATAAGAATGTCCCGCTAATGCTAATAAAATGTCCATTCATTTGTCGGAAGGGAAGTTGTGGCCTAATGGTTAGAGAGTCGGACTCGTAACCCAAAGGTTTGTAGGTGGGGGGAGTGAATGTAAAGCTCTCTCCCGCCTTCAATACCATAACTGAGGTGCCCTTGAGCAAGGCACCGAACCCCCAACTGCAGCAAAAAAAATGGCTGCCCACTGCTCCGGGTGTGTGTTCACGGTGTGTGTGTGTTCACTGCTGTGTGTGTGCGCGCTTTGGATGGGATAAATGCAGAGCGCTAATTCCTAGTATGGGTCACCATACTTGGCCACATGCCACTTCACTTTCATTTCCACCACAGTAATTCTTTCATCATCCTCATCCAAAAAAAATGTATGTATATCAAAAATGTTGCTGCCCCGTTTAACTTGGTATATGTAGATAACAGTGTTTCGAATGGGTGCTGAGGGACAAGATGACATTGAAATGGCTATCCTCACTGCGTTACTGAAAGGTATCGTGAATACGCAGACCTTCTGAAATACCACAGATTTGGTTCATGGTTTAGAAATTAACTATAATGTGTGTTCGTTGTACTTAAGGAACAAACGCATCAGCTCCAGATCAGCTGAGCTTGGCTCTGGCTTGGAATAGAGTGGATATAGCACGCAACCAAATCTTTGTGTATGGACACAATCTACCAGTATGTGAAATAATCTATATCCAAGAAATAAGAAAATATTTATTTCACAGAGACTTTCTTAAGTTAAAATGTTTGTTTTCATAGCCTGCAAGCGCCCTCGCTGCCATCTCCACCAGCACAGCACCATCTCATGAAAAGCAGAAAGGAGCCACTCAACGTAACAAAGGAAAGGCTAGAGGGAAAAAAGGCAAAGGAGGCAAAGCCAAACCAGAACAACCAGAGGAAACTGACCCCAGAAAGTTAGAACTACTGAACTGGGTAAGACCTTTTGCTTAGATTTTCCCTAAATGTATTATGTTTCTCATATAGTGTATCTCATTTAAATTCACCATTCATTTATATATGAAGTCTTACTGGTATTCCTAAAGTGGTTCCTAAAAACTTGCGTAAAAGATTGATCAGACGGATTTTGTCCAGCAACTCCAGAGTTCTTGAGTCTTTGATACCAATTAATTAAAAGAACCAGCTCATAAGAGTCACTTGATTGTAAATTAGACTTTAGTGTTTGTGTTGTAGGTTTTTGATTTCATGAACAGATGTGGCTCATAAGAATCATTTGTTAAGGAATCAAATTATACCATCCTTGCAGCCTGCTTTTCATTATTTTGTGGCATACAGTCTGTAGTAAAACACTGGTACACGTTAAGTGAGATATGTGAGAGACGGTTTATAGTCCACCTTTTCCAGAAAATGAATGTAGCATATATTCGACGTACTTGTGTTTAAGTTTAGTGTTTCAGCAAGCTTAGCATTCTACCTAACTTCTCGCTCGCTGTCGCCCTCTTCAGGTGAACTCCCTCGAGCAGGCCATGATTGACGCTTTGGTTCTGGACAGAGTGGATTTTGTCAAGCTCCTGCTAGAAAATGGTGTAAACATTCACCATTTTCTAACCATCCCTCGATTAGAGGAGTTATACAACACTGTAAGCACTGTAACCATTATCATTTTGGAGCTTATCACAAAGGATGTACAATAGAGCATGAGAGCAATTCATTAATCCACAGAAAAAAGACAGGCCCTGCTGTCATATTTTTTAATATTCCTCATAATTCTATTACTTAATCATATGCAATCTGTGTTATTTTGTGTTTATCAGAAACTTGGTCCTGCTAACACTCTACATATTGTCGTAAGAGATGTTAAAAAGGTAAAGCTGTCTGACTATTGAATTCTGGTTAATCCAACTTCACTGCTGAAGTTTTCTGAAGAATATATAAAAAATATAATTTTATGCATTGCTTGTATTTCGTAAAACGTAACTTGACAAACATTTCAGGAGAAATAACTTTTGTTCTTTTGATTTCAGGGGAATCTCCCACCAGATTACCAAATCACATTGATCGACATTGGACTGGTGGTGGAGTACCTGATGGGTGGAGCCTATCGCTGTAACTACACAAGAAAAAACTTCCGAGCTCTTTATAACAATCTTTATGGACTGAGGCAATTTCTTTTGATATTTCCAGGGTTCCTGGAGGGCCTTTAATTAAATTGATCTTAAATTGGAGCAGGAAGTCTTATATTTCATAAAGTCATTGCATTGAGTGTTACATGTACTGCAACAAATGAACATCTTCCTGATTACTTAAGTCTTGTTTTCCCGTACAAATATCTAGATAATTTATTGTAAGTTGTTTCTTGATTGTGATTTGCCTTTTTCTTCTGTTTCTGCTAACTTCAGGTGATACTCAGCCTCATTTTCCCACCTTTTATCCTGCTGTTGGATTTCCGTCTGGGTGATGACGTGTCTCATCAAGTCACTGCAAATAGTGAGGACAGGAAGACCAAGGATGATGATAAGTCTGGCCGGGTAAAAACTGCACCACCCCTTCTATTTAAACAAACCACTCCTTTATTAGATCAGTGTCGAGTACATAACTGAAAGCTCTTGACCTGACATTATATGAGCTTAATCCATCTGTAAACACAGGTCTTGCGTGACACATCCAGACATGATGTAGATAGAAAGTGGAAGGATTACATAATAGAAAACATATGTAGTTTGCTGATACTCTATTATTTAATCTATAAAACTCAGTATTTATAGTTAGTCCTGTGGGGAAAAACAGTACGGGAACTCTAGCACAGTGGTTAATGCTGCATCAAACGGCTTCTTAATCTTATGTTTGGTCTGGTTAAAACAAATCCAGGTTGATTTGGTGATTTAGATTTTAGAGAGGATGCTGTTTCTATGAATTCTGCCTGTTGTAAAACCACCTCATGTACATCTAGGATGCCAATGCAGATACAGCCTCTAAGAAAGGAGATGAGGAGGAAGGTAATAAGAAAATGAGACGGATTCCTATTGGAACAAAGATCTATGAGTTCTACAATGCCCCTTTCACCAAATTTTGGTTCAATACTGTGAGTAAAAAATTAATCCGTCCATCCATTTTCCAAACTGTTTGTCTTATTTAGGGCAGTCTATCCCAGCATCTTGAGCCATAGGCAGGGAAATACTCTGAAAGGATTGAGTAGAATATATTATAGAATATTTTTTTTTACTATATTATTTTTAAAACAATAACTAAAACTATATTGAAATCCAAAATCGGTTTGCATTGGACAGATTTCCTACCTTGGCTATCTCATGCTGTACAATTATATAGTACTGGTGAAGATGGAGCGTTGGCCATCCTTACAAGAATGGATCGTCATTTCATACATCATCACTTTGGGGTTGGAGAAAGTCAGACAGGTAAAGATGTCAATCTCTCCTTAAAACACCACTGCAGCCACATCTCTAGAAATAGATGCAAAAATAGTGCAATCAACCCAAACCCAGTAACAAAGAATCAGCTTGTAGCCTATATCTGATACTATTGCCTCCAGATTTTGATGTCAGAACCAGGCAAGCTCAGGCAAAAGATAAATGTGTGGTTGGAAGAGTACTGGAACATCACAGACCTGGCGGCCATCTCGACCTTCTTGCTTGGGCTACTACTTAGGCTGCAAAATGAACCTTACATGGGCTACGGCCGTGTGATCTACTGCGTGGACATTATCTTCTGGTATATCCGCGTACTGGACATATTTGGAGTCAACAAGTACCTAGGACCCTACGTCATGATGATTGGGAAAATGGTAATGCAATTTATTTTATATTTATCTGTTATACCTTTAGACCTTGTACACTTGATTATCAACTGTATGGACTTTTGACTTCAATAAGCTGCCACCTGCCTTGCAGATGATTGACATGCTGTACTTTGTGGTGATCATGTTGGTGGTCCTGATGAGTTTCGGCGTGGCACGGCAGGCTATCCTCCACCCAGACGAGGAGCCCACATGGCGCTTGGCTCGCAACATCTTCTACATGCCTTATTGGATGATCTACGGAGAGGTGTTTGCAGATTCGATAGACCGTAAGACTAGAATTTATAGTAAGATTTTGTTTCCTGCCTCCAGGGTAGATAGATGGCATTTAACAGTTTGATCCACCTTCCTAACACCTCACTAATATCTCCATCACCTATGTGATCCTGCTGTTTGTTGCTGCTTCCCCTATAACAGGGTTCCTCAAATCTTGCCCTGAAGGGGCCAATACGCTGCAGAGTTTAGCTCCAACCCTGATCAAACTGACCTACCTGTGATTTTCTAATGATCCTGAAGACATTGATTAGCTTGCTCAGGTGTGTTTGATTAGGGTTAGAGCTAAACTCTGCAGGAAAGTGGATCTCATGGGCCAGATTTGAGGATCCCTGCCCTATAACATCATGCCTAGTGCCTTTCTTGTTGTGTTAGGAACCTTTTGAGAATTCAGTCTTATAACTTTCAAATTTGGAGACAGAAAAATGTGTTGTCAAATTGTGGTTATTTCAGTATTTCAGGCTGTATGCCATTACTCTGCCATACACATTGCAGCAGTTTCTAGTTGATTATCCTGCCTGTCTGTTGATTAAGATGTTGGATTTGATTAATTCTTGCTGCATATTTTGTTCTTGTTTCTGGTTTCCACTTGCACTAACTGACTGTTTGTGACTACTTGCTCTTCTGGAATGTGCTCAAGTTTACGCAATGGAAATAAACCGTAAGCAAAACTATAAACATTTGACACAATGATAAACACTGTTTTCATGAAAAATAACCCTACTAATGGTATAGCGGCATTGGAATTGTTGTGAATGCAGAACAGATCGATTGTTGGTACTAAAATGTAACAAGAAAGCTTATTTAAACAGCCCCCTGTGGAGAAAACTTATATGATGAGGATGGGAAAAAGCTTCCACCCTGCATCCCTGGAGCCTGGCTGACTCCGGCCATCATGGCCTGTTATTTGTTAGTGGCCAACATCCTGCTTGTGAATTTGCTCATTGCTGTCTTCAAGTAAGAATGCTACCATTTCATGGTTTTGATGACTTGTTTCACTTGTAGCATGTAAAATCCAAACAATTTGTGGCTATTGGTCTTTACAAAAATGTCTTCATTGGTGAATATATTTTAACAGTTCAGTGGCGCTGCTTCACTGCTATGTGTTTTCTCTCATTAAAGCAACACATTTTTTGAGGTTAAGTCCATTTCGAACCAGGTGTGGAAGTTTCAGAGATATCAGCTCATCATGACTTTCCATGACAGGCCAGTGCTGCCTCCACCAATGATTATCTTTAGCCACCTCTACATCCTTTTTCGCAAACTCTGCTGCCGCTGTAGTAAGAAAAAGGAGGGAGAACTGGATGAAAAGGATAAAGGATTAAGTGAGTTTCATAAAATAATTAGACCAAATTATAAATGATCAAGATGCAGGTGTTCCAAGTGAATAGTAAAAGACCATGAGATAAATATTTGTTTGTATTATGTGTCTTTTCCTCATAAAGAGCTTATTCTTACCCCGGACGAGCTGAAGATGCTGTATGAGTTTGAGGAGCAATGTGTGGAGGAATATTTCAGGGAGAAAGAAGATGAGCAACAGTCCTCAAATGATGAGCGTATCAGGGTTACAAATGAAAGGTGATTTAAGTACAGGAATACGGGTAAATCTCTGAAATCCCAGTCTGCAAACTTCTTATCTATTCAATCATCACATTTACACAATCTTATTGTTCATGCTCAGGGTGGAGAACATGTCCATGCGCCTTGAGGAGGTGAATGAGAGGGAGAACACAATGAAGGCCTCCCTTCAGACAGTGGACCTTCGTTTGTCCCAGCTGGAAGACATTAATGGCCGAATGGTGAATGCCTTGGAAAGACTGGTGGGAATCGACCACTCCGAACTCACCCGGACACGCTCATCGGCCTCCTCTATTTGCGACCCCTCCTCTCTCCAACGTCACAGTAGCATCAACAGTGCTGATGGGTACAGCCTCTACCGCTATTACTTGGGTGTTGATGACCGTCCACCTGAGGAGAAAGAGGCAGATCTGAGTAAAACAATAAGCACTACAAACCTCAACACAAAGGAATATGGCCAGAATCTAGAGGTGGATATTCCAGGGGTAAAAAGACGCCTTGGCTCATGTGTGGACATCCGAATCTTCCCTTGTGATAAGGATGTTGAGGTTGAAGGGACAAAGCCAGAATCACCCAAATCTACAGTTCCTGACAACCAGACTTCTTCAGATAGAGCCACACTGAAAGAAGCCTTGATCATGGAGAGAGCAAAACTTCAGGCGACTACCTCCTACCCTCTAGAAAAGGTGAAAGCTTTTAAATACTATCCCGGAGAAATACAAAGCACATCCCCGTCCACTGTACGAAGGTGTTGGAGCACAATTTCATTTGATCAAGCAAGTGGAAGAGAACCAAATCTAGAAGGAGAAGGAATGGGTGGGTCTCCAGCTACAAGACGTTGGAGTGCTGGCTATGAGTATAAGGTACACCCTAGTCTTTTTGGTCAGACGCCAAAGGTATCAACGGTAAGACCCTTGGTAGACCAGATTGACCAATTTAGCAACAGTTTCAAGGTAGAGCAACATTCTGACCAGCCTGAGCCACAAATGCAGAGAGTTTCTTCTAGACATAGTATAGATGAGATGGGAATGCAAGACGGGGAGAAGACAATGGACAGTTCAGATGGATCAGTGAATCTTGAACGACATCAGTCAATTATTGAAGATGGGATAAGAAAGGGTGAAGAGCTACACTCAGCGGGGACGACTGGAAGACAGGCATCACTTGATGTAGATCAGGTAAATCAGGAAGAAGGGAGTGACAATGTGGACAAATGCCTGAAAGATACTGAACAGGAAGTGACAAAGGAACCAGATGATCCTGAAGGAGGTCTTGGAAAGGAGGAAAGTTCAGAGAAGCAAGACGGAGAGCAAACAGAGGAGATACCAACAGGTGTAGGTCCCTTTGATTCTGAAGTCCAAGCTGATGGTAGCCATCTGCTTCTGCCAGAAGACACAATGTTCCTCCCTGGAAGATCTAAAAGCTGGTCCACAAAACCGTGCAAGCCCTTAGAAAACAGCTTGAAAAGAGCCCACGGATCAAGCAGTGAAAGAGACCTTGCTGGAACATTTGGGGACTCTCCTGATGATCCAGGTAAACCAGCACAGAAGACAACAGACGATGCACCATCAGACGAACCGTGACCAGACACTCCAGAGGGAGTCCAATAAGAACAGCAAATTCAACAGACAAGAATGACACACACATTAAATTCTGTATATCCACCTATAACTCTATATACTTACATTAACAGTATGCACTCAGGTGTCATGATCAAGTTAACTGAGTAGCAAATCTCTGAAGCCATAGTATCAACTATCCATTATTTGTGTGCTTGCACTTAAAAGTATTTCCATCAGTATATGTATGTAATGTACAAAATACAGTATGTATCCCTGCTCACTGCTCTGGTTTTCATCGTCATTTATGTATTATGGTTTAGATGTTTTTTGACTGGTAAAATGACAGTATTATGAAATTTTATGGGCTAAAAAGTAAGGCTATGCAAACTGAACTAGTCAAAGGACAAAATGAGTCTACCTCAATGCAAAATGTTTGGAGTTAGCATGTTGTATGAGTGGTGCATTCTGTTTATGGTGGGAATAAGACTGTGAAATAGCACCATCTGTTGTTCTGGATGATGAACTGCTGAAAAAAAAGAGGAACTTTACACAGGAAAAAAATAAAATGAAGATAAGTTTATACAGTATTTACTTTGGTTATATGTAGTATAAAAGTCTACAATGAATAAAACCACACTTCAAATTCTTGTTCACATTTTCTTTGTTAAGGTTTCAACATGTTTACATAAGCATACTGTAGCTTTTCAGGAAACAGGTTGCATTATAGAGTCCAATAACATGTCATTTCTTAAAAATTCGGTCATACAATCACAAATATGAAAGAAAATACATGCATAACAATGGTCCCATCTGAATATCAGTGGTCATGATATGCTACATTTGTCAAAGTGAAATGACGATCACCAAAAATGTATTTTGAAGATTCAAACAGACCAACTCAGATTAATACAGTAGATCCAGTTCCAAGGCATTAAGGTCCCCAATATCAGCACAAGTAGTTGGAAGAAAGAATTCCCAAATGGGGATGTTTTATTGCTGTAATCTGTGCTACTTCTTCTGACACAACTATTAGTGAAGTTTGAATAGGAGGCCGAGATGTCTCACACGTTTGAAAACAAAAGTGCTGATTTAACCAGTTGCATTCACCCTGCAATCTTTGACTAAAACAACTACACAAGCAAAAAAAAAAGCATAATACCAATTTTTGGCAACTGTATGTTTCTTTTAAGAGTCTATGGTGAAAAATATGTAAACAGTAAATAAAAGTTGCTTGTACATTGAGTATATAACCTTATGCACTGGATGTTATTGAACAAAAAATTAAAAAGAGCTCAAATGAAAAATATCAAGCTGGAATAGAAAAAAAGGTTGATGAATTTTCATAAGCATGCATTAGTGGCTTTCCTGTTTAGCAAAATACAAAACATACTGTAGCATTGACACCAAGACCCTAGTCTCTATACTTGATTTCACATGGCCAAGCAGCCTGTTCTCAAATTAAAACATTTAAATGCTAATTAATTAGTGAATGATCATTTTCATATTCAAAAATTGTCACAAAATTTTCACATATCAGTGCTAGACTGAATTTGAATATAAACCCTATATTTTATCACCCTAAGGCTAAGGATCTACAGTACAACACAGGCACAATTTCTCAGGTTTAGATGTGTCAAACACACACTTTCTACGGGTGAATGTGATTTTGCCAAGTAAGACGTGTTCCCTTTGATACCTGACCTGAAGATGTTCCTTCACCCATCATGCACTGCAGCCATCATGTTCTATCTTTGCAACCTTCCTGCAGATGGATTGATGTCCGTCTGTGTTATAGATAGACGTGCCTGTGAGGAGAGCTCATTGAAAACACATATAAAGTGCTTTTAACCCACTGGCATCCCAAAAATGGCCTTTTACAGATTTTCTCTTAAATTTTTTGAACCAGTGCAAGAACACAGTGTATATACTGTATAAAAGACACCCAGGAACATGTTACAACAAGACAGACTCACTGACTAATTCATACTGTACATAATACATCTAAGCATTCAGCAGCAAATGTTTTAAGACCGCATGTGCTGTGTCCATATAGAATATTTTACAATGACATTTAAAAAAAATCAAACATTCGTATTTGATCCATTATCTTTTAACACAATCATCACGATTATCACCACACAACAAAGGAAACGTTTCCCATTGTGACTCTACCACCGAGTGAACTGACTAAATCTCTCAAAGCTGCATCATTCCTCTGTTCCATCTTGACATTAAGAGCTTGGAAAGACGAACCTTCATCTGTTCTTGAGCCTGACAGTCCAGCTCTTTGCAGGGGCTCATGTGACATGTTATACCAGCAGAGCATTTCTGGCTGCTGCAGACACACAGCGGAGTGAACGCACTGTATACTCTTGCCGTAAAAGCGTTACAGCAGAGCACACTTAAAGATGCTGTGCTTTTTAGAGCGCTTCTCTGAAATCTTCACCGGCCCTCCGCTATCTGCTTGACCACCATCATTCTAGTCAACAGAAAGATAGAAACATTTAAATTTTGCTTTGTTAAACATATTTTTAAAAAAATAATAAAAAATGTATATATATATAAACTCGCGATTGTGAGTAATAAAGTCAGAATTGTGAGATATAAACTGAAGTCAGAATTGCGAGATATAAACTAGCAATTGCGAGTTATAAAGTCAGAATTGCGGGATATAAACTAAATTCTGATTTTTTTTCTCATAATTGCGTGATATAAACTCACAATTGTGAGTTATAAAGTCAGAATTGCAAGAAATTAAGTCAGAATTATAAGATACAAACTCACAATTTTGACCTTTTTTCTCAGAATTGTGAGATATTAAGTCCAGTTCTGAGGGGGAAAAAAAGACTGATGTTTTCTCACTTCTGACTTAATAACTCACAATTTCAAGTTAAAAAGTTTGTTAAACATATTTTAAAGAAAACGTATATAAACTCGCAAAATAAAGTCAGAATTGTGAGATACAAACTGAAGTCAGAATTACGAGATATATTTGCGAGTTATAAATTCAGAATTATGAGATATAAACTCGCAATTCAGATTTTTTTCTCAGAATTGCATGATATAAACTCTCAATTGCGAGTTATAAAGTCAGAATTGCGAGAAATTGTCAGAATTGCGTGATATAAACTCGCAATTGCGAATTATAAAGTCAGAACTGTGAGACATAAACTTGCAATTCTGACTTTTTTCTTCTCCTTAATGTGACTTTTTCATGAGATATGATGTAAGAACTTTGAGATATAAACTTGCAATTCTGAGAAAAAAAGTCAGAATTGTGAGATAAAAAGTCAGAATAACCTTTTAAAATGTTTTATTCCGTGGCGGAAATGGGCTTCCATAGTAATCAAACTAAGTGCAATTATAAAACAATGTTTTTTTTTTTACCCACAGTATTGAACATTCTAAAATGTGATTTATTGTAATAATGATTCATGACATATATATATATATATATATATTAATCATTTGTACAAATAATTTTAATACAAATAATGATAAATGATATCTAGTCAAATACAGCTTTTTTTTTTTTTTTTTTGCCAGTTTTACAAAAAACTTCAAAAAACACTCACCATTTTTCTGCTAAGTCGAGCCATAATGTCTCTAGCAAGGGTGAAAAAGGCCTCTTCGACATTTACACTGGTTTTTGCACTTGTTTCCAAAAACTTGATCCCGTAATCAATTGCCAACTGGACAAAAAGTAAAAAGATGACAACACAGTTGTCAAAACAAAAACAAAAAAAACTACTAGATCAAATATTTTTATAAAAATACAAAATATATCATTAAAATTCATTCCAGTATCACTCAAAATACTGAATATCTGATTCAAAATACTATACCTATAATAAAAAGGTAGTGTTACAAGAATGACATGCATTTTATTTTTTCTTATTATTTTAAAAGATTTATGTTATATTACTCTTTTTAAATGATTTATTCCTTGTATGGAAAATTATAAGTTTGTAAGACGTGAGAGGCCTCACTTTCTCTCCTCTCTCTTTGGACACCTGTCTCCTGTCGTTCATGTCACATTTGTTTCCGAGGATCATCTTCTCTACGTCAGATGATGCATGCTGAAATGAGTAATTGAGAAGTTCAGCACTTCAAGTTAAATTCTCGAACAAATAAACTAATTATATTTGTTATAAATTTATAGAGTGGGTAACAAGCCAATTATACAATGGCCCCCTAATATGATTGGACTACAATGTATTAACCAATCAGAAACCAGGACCGTTAATGTAAATTATAACACTACACATATCAATATGTGAACAGTTTCCTCTTCAGTGTTACCTCCTCAATGTTGCGTATCCAGTTTTTAATGTTCTCAAATGACTTTTCACTGGTGATGTCATATACCAGCATAATGCCCTGAAAACAAAGCAAGCTGAAAATATGAAACATCCATCTTCAGTGATCCTCACTTTCACATATATACATGAGTAGTAGCCAGTGGTGTTTTACCATAGCGCCTCTGTAGTACGCCGTGGTGATCGTCCTAAATCTTTCCTGTCCTGCTGTGTCCCTGTAAAACAATCAGACAGTCACACGCAAATAGTATATGCATCCTTGTTCCTTCCTTCGTCACCCTGCTCGGCCTCAACACTTCACATTCGTTCACAGTGAATCCCACCCTGCTCTTTGCCAGCTTTTAATATAAACATCCTGTAGATAGAGAGAGAGGTACGGATGTACAGCCTGTCCATGACACTATCATCTGCAAGTCTCATCCTTCATTAGTCACCTAACTGGACAGGGAGCGCGAGTATTACGACTGTTATCAGGAAGGCCAGCCACAATGTGTAATGTGATATCATTCTTACTCATCAGTTTTCACAGATGAACGATCAAGGACTATTACAAGTTAGCACCCTGTTGAAAAAAAACAGCATATGCTGGTTAGGTATGTTTTGACGCTGAGATGCTGGTTTTAGCTGGTCCTTTGCTGGTTTGTGCTGGTCCTTTGCTGGTTTTAGCTGGTCCTTTGCTGGTTTGTGCTAGTCCTTTGCTGGTTTGTGCTGGACCTTTGCTGGTTTGTGCTGGTCCTTTGCTGGTTTGTGCTGGTCCTTTGCTGGTTTGTGCTGGTCCTTTGCTGGTTTGTGCTGGTCCTTTGCTGGTTTATGCTGGTCCTTTGCTGGTTTATGGTCCTTTTGCTGGTTTATGCTGGTCATGTGCTGGCAAGGGACCAGCATAAATCATTAAAAGGACCAGCATAAACCAGCAAAGGACCAGTTTAAACCAGCAAAGGACCAGCTTAAACCAGCATCCCAGCGTCAAAACTTACCTAACCAGCATAAGCTGTTTTTTTCAACAGGGCAGGTTAATGGGCTAGCCATATGCTATAATAGCAGGTTAGTCAGTGTAGTCTAGTAACTTGTGTATATATGTAGGCTATCAGACTAAGCAGTTAAAGTATGCAAACTGTATCTAGTGGCTAAATTTCCAAATTTGACTAAAAGTATGCTAAACTAGCAGAATAATGGGCTTGTGAAATGCTATGATAGCAGGTTACTGGTATGCTAAGCTAGCAGTTTGATTGATGAGGGCTACACAAAAGCTTGCCTGCTAACTGTTTAACTTGCAAGCTAAGCAGAAAACAGAATGAGAAATTACTTATTTGACCATTTATAGTTC